CGACACATGACCATGCACTCCCGAGGATCTGTGCATGCCTAAACCAAGCGTGTACCCCACTATGGACACGCACGTGTATCGACGTGTGGTCCCGTTCTTCGTGTTCATGGCCAAACGTACATAGAAAATCATTACTTGCAAAATAGCTCCAGATCAGTCGACTGATTCTTGAAATTAGTCGACCGATAGTGAATCAGTCGACTGATTTATCCCATCAGTCGACCGAAGTGAACATGCACAAAACATGCAGAAATAACAAGCTTTGGTCGGTCGACTGATAGATCCTATCAGTCGACCGTCCAGAAGAAAATTATGCAATTCTCAGGGTCAAATCGGTCGATCGATACATGGGGTTGGTCGACCGACCAGAGTACTAGAATAGGAACGTGGTTTTCAAGAAGTTAACTCAGTTTTTCTCAAAAGAACTTGTGAAACATTATTATGGGGTGTATAAACATGTTTAGATCTCGTGTTTAACATAGTGGGGGTTTGGCCAAAAATTTATTCATCATCAAAACATGATTTTTGGGATCTAATCTCCCTAAATATCACTTAAACAGGTTTTAGTTGATTAATTTGGGTTCTACTCATCAAAATCCTATCTTTTCTTAATTTCGTGCTCGGATCTGTTGATCTTATTTATCAAATTAGGTTTTTAAACTATTAAGAATAAAAAAGTAAGGGGATGGGTTTGGGAAGAGATGAACTTGCCTTCCAAGATCGCCTTAATCTCCCAAACACGTGAGGAAACGCGATCCTCCTTCAAAGGTTCTTCGGAAAACGAGGTTGATAAGCTAGGGTTTTGAGGAGGATGACTGTTGTAACGTGATAGATGAAAATTCGGGTACACACACACACACATACTAATTGGATAAATTTTTTAATTTTTTAATTTATTATTGAATCATTTCATTATTATTTATTTTATTTAATCCATGTTTCAAACATATGGATAGAATTTAAAAATTAAAAAAGATTGAATAATGAAATTACATTTATGTATCAACTGGGTGATAATAGATTGTTTGCATACTTAACAATAGAAAAAACAATGAATAATTTTATAAAAGAAATTTATTTGATATACACCATTGATTTTCAATCAACCAATGCTACCTATATACAAATGACAACAGACAATCTATTTAATCATAATCATCCAATATAAATGTTACTAAAATAGTAGCATCAAATTTTTTTCTTTAGTCTTACTTATTTCTATCCCCTCAAAACAATTAATAGTCATGCAACAAGCAGTTGAGATACTATAAATATCTCTCTTTATCATTGGATATTTTGAGCTTTAATGGTTCCAAATTTTTTTCGAGCAGTTAACTAATTATGCCTATTAGGAGCGTGAGATTTTCTGATTACATGTCTATGAAACATCGAATCAAAGTAAATCGCAAGATGGTTAAAAACTACAAAGATAGTATAGAGCAAGATTTTTTTAGAAGGCAAAGAACCAAAGAATCATACTCTTAAAATAGAAGTTATGTCATTGATAAAATCAATTGTAGATGAAACCAAATGAGGATAACCATGATATTATTACTAAAAATAATCTTATTTGTCTTTACAAATATGGATCATCTTTAATTGATAATTCTCATGTAGAGTTCGCTCTCAGATTGGGCTCTAATAAGTTTCTTATTAGAATAAAATTCCGCTGTCATAGATCCACTAAAGCTGGCTTATCATAAGCTAAAAACAATGACATATAGAAATATTGAATCACCAAAGCTTTTTTGACTCATTTGATACCCGAGTTTTTTAGTAAGCTACCTACATTTATGGCTTCTCCCGAGGCACGACGACGAGAAGGCTCTGCTAAGCAACCATTTGTTCTCCCTTCTTGTTGAAGAATTCTCTCGCGGGTTCAACTACCATCCATCCTTTGACATGCCCTCGGCGAAGAGGGCAGGAATCAAGATCTATGGACTCCAAGTTTTCATCATCGTTGTTGGTTTTGGTGAAGGCTTTATTAAACTGGTCAAGGCAATTGGAGTGGCGATGGCTGGTGGCACACATGTAGGAGCGACAGCCCTTGTCGTGGGAGGAGCAGGGGAGGAGCACAGCGTTGTGTAGGGACTTCATGCATACTGAGCATTTGGCATCCTCCTAATTTTTTTTTCTAATGCTAAGGATGGTGATATACTCCTTGGGTTGCCTATGCCCTATGACATCATAATGTTGGTGTAAACGAAGAGGGTACGTAGCTAAGATGATACGACGAGTAAGTGATCTGCTACAGTGACTCCTTGCAATTCTTTCCATTTTCTACGAATACTGAAAAAGGAAAAGGAAAATAACCAGATAAAAATAAATCAATATATAATGTTATTCGTCAAGAACGCGTATACACTCGTAGGAAACAATAGGTGAAGTTAGCACAAATTCCTTCTACTCTGACACCATTTAAGCCAACTAGTTGACGTAAGTTCTGTATGGCAAATATCCATTCAAAAGTCACAAAATTGCATAGTCAACTCTAGATTGGAGATAAGTTACAATATTAAACCTCAAAGAACTCTTGCGAGGTTTTAAAGTACATGATCTAACTCTTGTGAATCTTTTGATTTATGGCCATCTACCATTTCATCTAATTGTTCTAGGAACATAAAAATATTCGGTTCAAAATATAATAGACCCCAAAAGTGTATTGCATACATTATCTAGAGGTTAAAAAAAAGAAACCTATTATAAGCAAGTCATTGAAAGAATGCAATGCAGACAAGAATGCAGTCTTTAAGTATATTTTCAAGTAAACGAATATGTGACATGTTTAATTTTTAGATCCAGATTTCGCACACTTCAGGCCCTGAGCTACCTTTTCACTAAGAGATCTTAAAACTTTGGATAAGAATTGATCTTGGAAGGAGGTTTGGTTTTGTAAATTATTCCACCTGAAAAAAAATGAAAGAAAGAAAAAATTGTTGCTGGAGTGGCCATGGATGTTTATAACCGATCCTCATAGAGTTGTAGGAAATACTTATACGGATCTTGATCTTATATTATAACATACATATAAAATACAAACTAATATGAGTCTTGAACACACACAAAACACACCCAACAACATACAAAGTGACACACACAGACACAAGCGCACACAAAGACAGTTGTACGCAAATGCATACATACCAGATTGTAAACGTGGAAGTATGTTGATTTTTTTAATTATTCTTACTGAAAAAGGGAGAGAAGAAGTGTTCTGTGTTGGATTGTAGTTTTATACTTGGTCCCAAAATAGTTAAAACATGTACTAACCATACTAAATTTGAAGTACGAATTTTAGTAATTTGTATGTCAGTCATTAGATTTACATTGTGTGTAATTGATATCTTCACCTTCAGTTTAAAATAGTGATGATGCATGTATTTCGCACCACAATTTCTGTTCATGTTTTTTCCTTGAATGTTTTTTCACATTCTTTCTAAAAATTAATATTACGACCAATCAAAATACGTACCGAAAAGGCATATATTGGTTTCCCTAATTTTGAAATAGCCCTGATTTCAAGGAATTTGATGATAAATGTGATAGAATCATTTGGTGAAAGGTCTGGTTAACATAAAATTTGAAAATAATAATAATTAAAAGATCAACATATATCTTTATTTTATTTACAAAACTAATCACTTCCTCAACCTCTACGAGCTTCTTTTCTTCAGGGAGCTTGATCTTATAACCTCTCGGCAGGAAAGTGATAAACCATAGAATTAGATCTCTATATCTCTATATCTCTAAATAACTCTTTCACCCTCGCTATAACCCCACCAGTGTCAATCCTAAAACCAATAAATAACACAAAAAATTAAAGCAAAGGGAAACAATTAACAAGCAATTAAAGTAGCCCAAATTTAGAAGTTTTCAACCTTGAGCTCTTGAAGTCCTCCATGACATTGAGGAATTCATCATATTTTCCCCTCTTATCCTGAAATATATCTTTCACAGACTTTAGATAATGAAGGGCATCGCTTGCTGTGAGCTTCGGACTATTACTAAAATACTCTTTTAAGTTATGAATAATCAGGTTTGTCGTCAAAACGTAGTGAATGACAGTAGTGGAAGTTGGATGCGAATTATGTACGATATCCACGGCAAAATGCTTGAAGATAATATATCAATGTTGTCATGATCAAAAATTTATATATCTATTTAGTCATTATTAAGAAAAGTAAGAAAAGATGTTGTCAAGGCTCTCAACTTCATTATGTGAATTAGATCTTACCTCAATAGAGGTGGTAACTTTTTTTTCACTAATTTTTTTATATTTCTACTTCTTTGTTCCAGCTTTTAGACCTTGCCAGGGAAGACTGGAAACAACAAGAAAAACAAACTTTTGTTACACCATACTATGGACAAAGCTATTAAAAATGAAGTTAAGATAGACACCATACCTTCCTCTTTAAAAATACGTGAGAACAACCCCAAGAGATTCCAAATCATCCCTCCTGTTTTGTTCTTAAGATTCCAATGTACATAAGTCAAGCATATAAAATATGATGACTATATGCCAACCTCATCAAAAGGGTCATCCTAATAAAAGTAAACCTATAGAGTTTGTTGGCATACTGCAAACAAAATAAGCTTGCAAGCAAGTAATAACAATGCCCATTGCTTACAAAGGTAAAAGAGAGGACCAAAGATGGAAGGCACTAAACCATACATGTATTTCAAAACACACCAACATCCAAAGGATCAATCATTCACTACAAAAATATAGAAAAGAGAGTGCTTCCCTAGAGGCTAAACATAAAACATTACATGTCATGACCTTGTAGATGTCAGGCTACAAGTAGACATACATTCATGATTCATCACATAGATTCCACCAAATAACAAATCATACAACAGCCCAACAGCATGGGGTTAAGAACAGGAAAGTTTGTATGTAATATAACCTAAAACCACAAGTCTATGCGGTATCTAGTAAAGTCGCCACCCACAGATCTATGAACATCATTAAAGCAACCAGACCACAATGAGAAACATACTCAATTGGCATGACCTCGAATAACATCAAGGCCCATCTCCGTAGGATCGGTGACTTGCAGCTCCACCTGAATACCATCCAACTCCCTCTTGAACTTGTCGTTAGAGCTTGCATAGAGCATCTTACTTCTCACCCTCGCAATGTCTGGAGACCTTCATGCAAGGGAAAACAAATACAAATCATTACCGCAACCTAAATCCATATATTATAGAAAAATTTAGTAATTTACCAAGCAATGAAGAAGAACTTGTTCTTCTGGCAGTTCTCCTCAGTGACAAAATCAAAGTCATAAATCGCATATCGACATTCGTTCTCATGAAGGCTCGTAGTGAAATCCTCGTAGCTCATAGTGGGTTAACGAAAAATACTCCTAAAAACTGACATAAATAAATGTTCATATAATTGAGTGACAGTTGGGAGACACTCGTTGAATCAATGTTACACAAAGCACTAAATATAGCTTGTTAGTGAAAAGAGCACTCTGACCTTGTTCATATTGTAAAGAGCTTCAACCATATCTGATGATCTATTCCTAACTGTACCAGCCACCTGGATATCCAAATGAATAAATGATTGCATTATATTAGGGAGACCTGTAACTACATTATTGCTTGCAGGTATGCTGTTAACTAAAATACTTTTAAATCAAAATCAAGCCTCCAACAATGAGGTAACCTTCTCCAATCCTTGCCATGTTTCCGGTAAGCTTCGTAGAACTGCTCGAGCTCCTCTTTGCTCCATTGAGGGCCAAACATGTCAGATAATTCTTTTTCTATGAATGTGAAATGCCAAGAAAATGTGGAAAGTTAGCAAACAACTTCTGTATTAACTACAAGACGATCAGTTCTAGAAAATAAAACTTGGAGAATAATATTATGTGCAATAGATCATTCAGAGAATAAGGCGTAGAATGCTTCATCTCATCTAAATTTTTTTAAAAGGCCAACAATGTGAAACAACCGCTCAAAAGATGAACAATGAATCCAAAGATCCAACAATAGGCATTTTCCTTGATTATTGAACAAATTAATCAAAAAAGAAACCAAAATTTTTGCCAATATAACAAAAGTACTTACATGTGGCCTACTTCCTTCAAGCATTTTTGGTCACTTACAGCGAACAACAACAAATAGATTTGGTATTCCAATCACTAATAGAACGTTTGAAATCAACTATCATTTACCAAGTGCACAATAGATCCCCAGATTACTTAATGATACTACTGGCACATCAAAAAGGAAAAAATGTTAACTAATATTTTTCTTTCAGTCATATTTCTTGACAGCACCATGCCATAGCTTTAAGAAGGGAAAAAATAAACAACAAATTTAGAATTCATACAATTTAAAATCAAATAGTTGAAGCAATCAACTGAGAATAAACCAATTCAAAAAATAATAATAACAACCTCGACAAAATAAAACCCTTTCAAAAATAATTCCATCATAAAAATTTCCAAACAGGTTTCCTAAAGATCGAGCTCTGGATTTCCACTTCACACCCTAAACCCTAGTCCTTAACAAAATTCAAAATCAAAGAACACATTCGAATCAACTCATCAAGGGTTAGGGTCCTGTAGACCGAAATCGACTACAGTCATCCATTCCTAGTTTAGATAAAAAAAAATTTCTACTCCCTATTCTGATCGGGATTCAATCTATTAGTTTAAAAGAACTGATCTAACTGAGAAATGGAAAGATCGAGATTCAACTTACTTTCTAATCTCACTCCAGCTAACATTCGATTATTGAAACCCTCGTCGCTTGAAACTGCAGGAAATCGAGAATTAGGGTAAAATTAGAACAAAAGGAGAGGGCTCAAGAACAAAAAGGGGAGAGGGCGAAGGGTTTTGTATAGCGGAGAAGATTTGATAACCGACAATTGATGAGGTAGAGAGAGTGGGACTGAGAAGGAAAGGAACGAAGATTTAGGGCTTTACATTTGCTGATTTCTAAGCAACGAAAAAACAAAGGGTAACTTGGTTAAATTTGTTAGGATATGTGAAGCCTAACTATCAAGCATGCCCTATACTTCAGAAGAGAAGAGGAACAAAGTTGGAATAGGATGAACATGATCGACGATGGCGGAGTTCAAGCAAAACGACGAAGAAGACATTTTTCTGCATCGCGGTCGACCGAGCAGGGTGCGGCGGTCGACCGCCTATGTGCACAGCTGGGTGCACAGGCCAGAAACTCGTCGCGGTCGACCGAAGGTGGCGCAGCGGTCGACCGCTCAAAGTCCAGAGAGCAACCCAGACTTTTGACTTCATCGCGGTCGCCCGAGCATGGCGCTGCGGTCGCCCGCCAAAAGTCCAGAGAGCCAGGCAGATTTCGATCAGCATCGCGGTCGACCGGATGTGGTGCGGCGGTCGACCGGAGTCGGGTTTCGGCCCAGATTCAAATTTTAACCTGTTTTGATCTGTTTCCTGTTTTAGTTGTTAAACCCTTAAGTCTATAAAAAGGATTGATTAGGGCATGATGTAAAGAGACGAAAAATAGTGAATTTTTCTCCTGCGACGGCCGTGGATGTAGTTTCTCACATTGAGAAGCGAACCACGTAAATCTTGTGTGTTTGAGATTGTTTGATTTTCTCTCTTCTCTTCTAAATCTCTATTTCCAAATCGCATCAGGGGGATTGTGCATCCCCAACAAGTGGTATCAGAGCGACCAGGTTCGGCGCGAGCGATTTGAGGTCAGAGACAATGGGATCTGAGAAGGAAACATCCAAGATTGAGAAGTTTGATGGAACAAACTTCGGGTTCTGGAAGATGCAGATGGAGGACTACTTCTATCAGAAGGATTTATACCTACCATTGGGAGAGAAGCCGACGGATATGAAAGATGCGGATTGGAAGCTATTGGATCGAAAGGCCCTTGGAGCGATCAGGTTGACCTTGTCTAAATCAGTAGCGTTCAACATCAAGAATCAGAATACGACGGCGGATCTTATGGCGGCGTTATCCAGTATGTATGAGCAGCCCTCTGCTGCGAATAAGGTACATCTCATTAAAAAGCTGTTTAATTTGAGGATGTCCGAGAGCCAGAAATTCAAGGAACACCTGAACGAGTTTAACGAGATCACGGATCAATTAAATTCGGTCAATATTCAGTTTGACGATGAAATCCAAGCCCTCTTGATACTTGGTCAATTGGCCGACAGTTGGAAGGGTACCGTTATCTCGATCAGGGGATCATGTGGCAAATCAAAACTGAAGTTTTTAGAGGTGGTGGACATGATTATGACTGAGGAAATAAGAAGACAAGAGGAAGGGATTTCTAATTCAGGGTCGGCCTTGAATCTTGAGGGCAGAGGAAGAAACAGAAACAGAAAAATAGAGGGAGTAGCCAAGGAAGATCTAACTCGAGGAACGGAAGGCCAAAGTCCAGGAACCGCAAGGGCAAGAAGGAGATCGATTGCTGGAATTGTGGTAAGTTTGGCCACGATGAGAATCAGTGCCGAGAACCCAAGAAGGACAAGGAGAATAAGACTGAAGCGAACGTGGCCTCAGGAGAATCAGATGATGCCCTAATCTGTTCGTTGGAGAGCAAAACTAGATGATGCCCTAATCTGTTCGTTGGAGAGCAAAACTGAATCGTGGGTGCTGGATTCAGGAGCTTCATTTCATGCTACCTCAAATAGAGATTGCTGGATTCAGGAGCTTCATTTCATGCTACCTCAAATAGAGATTTATTTGAGAACTATGTTTCAGGAAAACTAGGAAAGGTCTATCTTGGTGATGATCAACCCTGTGATATTGTTGGCAAAGGAGTCGTGCAAATCAAGCTCAATGGGTCTACATGGAAGCTGAGTGATGTGAGACATGTTCCTAGCTTGAGGAAAAATCTGATTTCCATAGGATAATTGGCGAAAGAGGGTTACGTATCAACATTTGCATGTGATACATGGAAGGTTACAAAGGGATCCATGGTTGTTGCCCGCGGTACGAAGACGGGATCTCTCTACATGACGATAGATGCACGAGGTTCCATTGCAGTGGCTGAAGGCAGTGAAGACCCAAATTTGTGGCACCAGAGGCTAGGTATCAGTTCCATCCACCGGCGGAAGGTTATATTTTGTGACCTTCATAGATGATCACTCGAGGAAGACTTGGGTCTATTTCATGAAACACAAATCAGAAGTGTTTGAAGTCTTCAAGCGATGGAAGGCTATGGTTGAGAACGAGACCGGTTTGAAGATCAAGAAGCTTCGTTCTGACAACGGCGGCGAGTATGAAGACTCAGAGTTCAAGAAGTTCTGTTATGACAGCGGCATTAGATTAGAGAGGACAGTGCCAGGTACACCCCAGCAGAATGGCGTAGCAGAACGCATGAACAGAACATTGACTGAGAGAGCCAGAAGTATGCGGTTACAAGCAGGTTTTCCAAAGCAATTCTGGGCAGAAGCAGTCAACACAGCTGTCTACTTGATCAACCGGGGACCATCAGTGCCTTTGGAGCACAAAATACCTGAAGAAGTATGGTGTAGAAAGGAGGTAAACCTTTCTCACCTGAGAGTATTTGGATGTGTTTCATATGTACATCTGAGTGATCATGCTAGAAGCAAACTCGATCCTAAGTCCTTAAAATGTTTCTTTGTTGGCTATGGCGGCGATGAGTTTGGCTTCAAGTTCTGGGATGAGCAAAACAAGAAAATCATCAGAAGCAGGGATGTGGTCTTTAACGAATCAGTCCTCTACAAAGACCGTGATGCAGTTCAGCCCACTAGCTCGATGCAGAGTGATCCTACATATTTCGAGTCAGATTATGCCTCAGGTGGAGGCAATCCCGAAGCTAGTTCTGATGAAGAAGAAGAGATGATGGATGAGACCACTTCAGAGGGGGCAGATGAAGATGGAGAGACTGTTTCACCCGTTAGAGAGTTGAGGCGGTCAACTAGAGTTCCCAAGCCCAATCCTAAGTATCCATCACTACAGCCAAGAGCTCATCTCAATTACCTACTTTTGAGTGACGGTGGAGAGCCAGAAAGTTATGATGAGGCTCTTCGAGTGGATGATGCGAGCAAGTGGGAGCTTGCCATGAAAGATGAAATAAAATCCTTGGACACCAACAATACATAGGAACTTGCGAAGCTACCAACGGGGAAAAAGGCCTTGAGCAATAAATGGGTGTACAGAATCAAAGAGGAATATGATGGTTCCAAGAGATACAAGGCCAGATTGGTGGTTAAAGGATTTCAGCAGAGAGAAGGAGTTGATTACACAGAAATCTTCTCTCCAGTAGTCAAACTGACTACCATCAGAACAGTCCTGAGTATTGTTGCAGCTGAAGATCTACATCTCGAGCAGCTAGATGTAAAGACAGCTTTCCTCCACGGTGATCTAGAGGAAG